AACAAACTTTTTGTTTACCCTGTATATGTATGTGTGGATGGATGGATGAGAGATGTATTCGTTTTTAGCGAAACGGAGCACCAGTTTTTGGCACTACGGGAATTGGTGCAACGTGACACTTCCTATGTGAGTATGCAAGACTCTCCCACAAAAGTGGAAAAAAAAAAACTGAAGGCCTCTGAATGACTATGGCTAGGATAAGTTGGGGGAGGCAAATGGAAGGAGAGATGCGGAAATCATCTGCGATAAGTATCTATAGAGTTCGAGCTCGCGCAGGCGACGGTAGTTTTCAAGGCAACGGTTGCTCGAAACTGCCGTCGTAACAGGATGGTAGGCCTCATCAAGCATTCCATTGCTCATGGAGCATGCACGTTAGGTGCTATGCACACTGACTATGAAGAGTTGCGTTGCGATCACTGTGACCGTCGCAGCTCGTTGTAATCGGTCGCATTGGAGATGCGTGAGACCTTCGTATCCGGCCGCAGTACGCTTCGCAATGGAATCTGACGAATCATTTCCTGTCGCATCTTCGCAGTGGTTCGTACTGCGTATCTATTGGCTGCAAGTCATGGAGTCCTTAGATAATAATTTGGTAGCTCTTTTGATGGAATGACTTTAGCGGTAGTTGATGCCCATCATCAAACATTGAATCTCCATAAGTGAGATACATAGATATACGAAATACATGTCCATGAATCCATGAATTTAAATTTCAATTTTTTATGTTCCGAAGTACTTCGAGTGCAAAAGCCTGAGTCGTACCCACCTTTAAGAAAGTGCTACATTATTTATTCGTATTTGAGACGTACATAAAATTTGTAGGGAGTATGTATTTTCCCACATCAATGGAGAGGCGGATAAAGTAATTTTTCATAGGGGCCTGGCCTTTCACTCCCAGCTCTATCGCCTTTTTCATTTCTCGTATGGAATAAAAACTTGAATATCTATTTCACTGCCCCCCCCCCCCCAAAAAAAAAAAAATTAATGTAGAAGCTATTTAAAAATAAAAAAATAATAATAATAAAAATAGAGTGCTAACCTGGCCATAGGGGGGGAGGGGGCGGTCGCCCCCCCCCTGGATCCGCCCCTGCCTCAATGTCACTGCCAGTGGCGTAGCTAGGGTGGGCTGAAGCCCCCCCCAACTCTGGTCGAAATGCGACCGCCATCATCCTTGGCTCCCCTTGGCCAAGATGTCACAAGCTCCCGCTTTGGCAAAATCCTGACAACGCCACTGGTCACTACCACCATTTGCGCTGAGGAAATGCATGGTCTGAAGTTTGTTTCCCTTTTCTCCTGCAGACCAAGAAGGGTCTTGAACAGCTCGGGAGACATTCTCATGGACATTGGAGGAAAACACTCCTTGTCCTCGGTGATAATATTTTCAACCAGAGTCGCGAAATTTCGCATCTGATGAGACTGTGTATAGGACGTGCCTACCACTGTCGAGAGCTTTTCCCCCCTGGGGCCGCACAAAAACCAAAATGTTGCAGTACGAGCTCTCAAATTGTACACAGCCGTGTTGGATTTCGCTTGGGAGTTCGGCGACCAGTGTGGGAGATGCATCGCATACGGGCCCAGTCGAGAAATGCCTGCGATCTTCGTAGACGGTCACAGGGCGGCTTTGCCGCAGCTCTTCGCAGTCAGTGTGCATCAGCCATTATTCTTCCGTTATATGCAGCTGTTTTAACTCGAGTTGGAGTATTATGTACAAATCTGAAAGCTTGTAAATAAAAGAGATTTGACGGCGCTCGAGAAAATGACGAAAATGAAGAAAATGACGCAAGAGGTAAGAGGAATTTCCCGATCAGGATTTTTCGCTAAGGGCACACACACGGGATTTCATTCGAGAGAAGGATAACGAAGGAGGAGCTCATTCCAGGCATTTAAAATGCATGGTGGGCCACGAATCATGCTACAATTTGAAGTGCAGGTAACTTTTGTCATATTAACTCCAATTATTTCATCTTTGTTTCAGGTTGAAAACTATTAATTGGAATTTTAATTAGCATGGATACCTGGGATTTGCCGGAAAGAACTAAAGTTTTTGAGCTTCATTTCAAACATGGTTCCATTACATCTGCTCAACGTGAATTCAAGAGAGACTTGCACCCAGCTGTTGCACAATAATGCGACTCGTTGAGAAGCTCTGCAGAGAAGGAAATGTAGGAATAAAAACTTATCATCGGAAAAGGGTTCCTCCACGCTCTACATGGTTCCAACAAGATGGAGCAACATGCCATGTGACGAGAAATGTAATGGATTTATTACGCCAAAAGTTTGGTGAAAGACTAATTTCAAGGAATGGTCCAATTCTCTTTCGTGCCAGATCACCCGATTTCTTTTTGCGGGGCTATTGTAAAGTTCATGTATATAAAAACAAACCAAACACAACAGAAGAGCTGTAGGAAAAAATCCGTCTTGTAATCAGCGGAATTAGCATGAAACACTAGCCGCCACAATGAAGAATGTTCTGGTGCGATGGACAATGTGTTCAGGTTAATGGTGCACATATGAAGCAGGTCATTTTCTGCAAATGACTTCACAGTTTCTCCAAGCAAATGACACTAAATGAATCTCCAAATTGTATTTTACTTTAGCGTACGATTTGAATCTTACAGCTACAATATATTTAATTTTATCGTAAAATCAATTTGTAGCATAATTGGTGGCCCACCCTAGTAAGTGGAGATACGGGGAGCGTGAAAGGCTTCTCCACCTTTTAACAACAGAATTAGGGGGGACCCGCTAAGTCGCGTAAGTCGTGAGATTCATGTTGCGGAATTACTTATTTACTTAACGTGAATGCATAAAGATGGTCAAGTGAAGTAGTGGCTACACCTTCAGCGACTAGTTTTAACCTTTTATTGCATGGTATATGAAAACCCTAGAGAAAAACATTGAAATTTTGTATACTTTCCTTTATAAGTACGAAAGTAAGATATTTAGCACCAAACTGCCAAATTCGGTCATTTTATTACAATTTTGAGTTTTTGCCAAATGAAAGAAACTTGAAGAAAGCAAAAATCTGCAACAGGTAGAGTTTGTAAAAGGTCTGGCGAAGATGTAAGATAAAGATATGAGACATGCCTACCTTTATGTCAAATTTGAAATATAATTTTAAAAATAGGAAGTTTGCAACTAAATTAAGAGAAAGAACTGTTACTCAGCTACGTTATTGACCAGCATTTTCAATATGCTCCCAGTTGGTAAAATTGAAAAAGTATTTATGTTCTTCCCTATCGGGGAACATTAAGGATGTTTCGGAAATTCTCCACTCGCCACACACAGTTTTCAGCCATTATATATATACAGTACAGTATAAAATAATCAGGTATGTTCCCAATCTGGAACACGGTGCAGTGAAGGATTAAGAAGAGGTTGGATGCCTTTATGGAATACGAAAAAAAAAATAAACTGGAGCCACGATTAACACACCCCCCTCCCCCCCCCCTCCTCCTCTACTCGTGGGATACATTTTACAGGTAAGATTCTCAAAATTTTCAAAATCATTTGGCCATATACACTATGCAGGGTGTGTTAATTTGTCGTACGTCAACGCACCATTGGGATTTTCTTGGCACGCTACTGCTCTTGACATCCCTACATTCCTTAGATGCGATTCGTCTGGTCCGATTCCGCTGACTTGATTCCTGTCCCTCGTAAGCTCGCAGTGGAAATGCAAGTTTGCTTCATACGCGAATTGCTTCGATCCGATGGAGGTGGGGTTTCGGCACAGTTGCTCTGACTCGTGTTGAATGTCAGTTCCTCTTCCCCAGGCCCCAAAAGATAAACTTTTCCCATTATCAGCTTCTTCTTGGGATGGTGACAATGAAGGGCTCCTTCAAGAATTTTGTGGGTACAATGTACCTTCCTGGAATAACTCCGTCCTTTTTTTTTTGGACGGAATCATTGGAGATTCCTATGGAAAAGTTCGTATAGTTGATGCTGCCAATTCGAAAATGTGTGAAGCCAATCCGGATGTATTGGCTGGCAAGCGAGGAGGGAGACGAAGGGTCAGCAGTGGCGCCGCTAGGATTTCGTCAAAGTGAGGCTAAAATTTCCCTTCGTAAACTGGGGGAGGAGAGTAGGTTTAGCTTGGACTCTTGGAGGCCTCGAGCCTCTCGAGGCTGGTAGCCTATCGTATCGTATCGTTAAGATCGGGCCTCTGTGATGGCCAGAGGCGCAAAGGAGCTTGCTACAATACAGGCGTGTTGTCTTTCTAATCAAAATGGTTGAGTTCGACCCGTGGACTGGTGCTTTGACGACGTGTGCACACAACAGGAGCAGCAGAGTGGATTACAGCGGAGCGCATACGCGCGTAGGGGTGCGCACTGAATGATCACGTTGAAAGCGTCTGCTCACGCGTTTACGCAAGTCCCTCAGTGCTCAGATCGTTATGCCTCTCGGGAATTTCTTGTTGATCCATCAATTTTCAGACTTGTATATTCACCCTTTCCTTAGGTCATCGATGACATGCTCTTGTTTGCCTCTATTTGTATCCGTAAGAATAAGACGTTCATGGGTACACTTACGAAACCATGTGCTATTTGCTGCGGAGACTCCTCGTGGAGAGTCTTGTTCCACCACTTAATAGGTTGAATTTCCTAGCCTGTGAGCAATGGCTGTACTTATTGCGTCTGAAGTTTACTCAGTACACAGCCCTTCCAATGTGAACACAGCACTCACCTGAACTGTTTTCAGGCCACTTCTCTAAGAAGTGTCCAATAGAAACCTGTCTATAATTGCTTCCTCTCCTGTTGAGTCTAAGTTCTGAAGCTTACAAAAAGAGAAAGTCACACTTCTCATGTTTGCATGTATTCGAGACCTAATGAGTGAATTGGCTTTTTTAAATTTTATCCCGACTGACAGCAGCGTCATTGTAATTCACTATTGCAAGGGCCAACCTCCTCCATTCTTGCTCCCGCAAATAGGTGTTTCAGGTGACACTGATAAACAGGTCTTAGCTTGAATAATTTTTTTACTTTATGGCTAGGAAATGCATGAAAGTGTTAAGTGATGAAGTAGCAGTTGTCCCTTCTGTGACTAGCTTCAAGAAAAGGTTAGATGCTTTAATGGATAGACAAAAAAAGGTAGTAGTGTAGCTGTAAGAGTAAGTAACTTGGGAAGTAGATGGATATGCTCTCTTAAAATTATGTATCTTTAATGGGGATAGGCCTATCTTACTTTATGTGAATGGTCAATATAGACCCAAGATGTTGTAATGGGTGAAAGTGCCTCATGATGTTCCTACCCTTACCTTGATACTTTAGTTCAGGAAAAAGGCCATGGCACAACCATACCTGGTTCCAGGGATTTGAAGGTGCAGGAAGTGATGCACACAGTGCTCCCTGTATGATTTTAGATGACAGGCAGTAAACATTTCCATTTGGCACCCTCCTCACTCCTTCACATAGTTTTCTTCCCTCCAGCCCCTCGTTTTCCCTTGGGACTAGCCTTTATTTATTTGCAGCACAAAAAGTATTTGATTTTGTAGTCCATAGGCTGTGTAACCCCAATTGCCAAGAAGTTAGGACACTCATGAATTAGTTGCTTATTAACATAGGCCTATACTGGGTGGTAAGGACAAATCAGTCGATTGACTCGCCATATGCAAGAAGAAGAAGTCAATTGACTAACTTCTCAGAAGCACTCATGTTTTAATTTCATGATTCTGTATTGGTCAAAAATAAGGTAATTTATTATACATCTCTGTGACTTTAGAATCCATGCCTTATGCAATGTATTCCTCTGCAGAGCATCCTATATGGCTGAGTGGTATGAATTTTTTATCACTGGTAACAATCTTGCTGGTATTCTATTCTGATATTTTTCCTGATGCTCTCAGCATATCTTTTCCTCATGGTGACTGATACAAAAGCTCCTTCAAATTTCATCAAGACATAAAACAAAAACATAATTTTTAATATATATGCTTGCCTCAGTTTCAAAATCCTCTCTCAATTCATTCCCATTTTTTAGTAGCCATCCTTTCCTGAAAGGGAAGAGGCCAATTATAGTCTCACCTTGGCAGTGTTTCTGTCTATTTCATACTATATATATATATATAGTATGAGTATATATAGTATAGTATCTATATATATATAGATAATAATGATAAATATTGGTTTAATCACTGTGGAAAGTGGTATGCAGGTAGATATGGACAAGATGGAGGCAAAGGGTTTGTTTTTGGAGGAATTCATACAAAAACAACTTTTATCACAAATTTTGAATTTGAAATTTGCTCACTGCTGGAAAGGCACAAGCTATTGTCAGCTTTCCTGAATCTCAACCTCAAGGTGCATGTGCATTTCTCAGCTTTGTTTAGGATGTCATGCTACCAGCTGGAGGTGTTAGTTCCCTTCCAGTTGTTGTAGCTGACATATCTGTTCTTGAGAAAGAAAGGGGGGCAGTACATGGCAGCTGAGACAACAACTTTCATAAGTAGAATGAGAAAAACTTAGAAAGACATAGTATATTTATGTTTCATGAAAAAATGTCAAATTTGTAACTTACAGATTATTTTAAGAATAAAATGCTTAAGGTTTAAGTTGATCACCCTGTACAAATCCCTGAGGAACCTAACTTTCACTTTGCAATTGGGAATATGACCTAAGATAGGAAGAAAATTCTATTTTCTTTTTTGAAGACCATCATTGCCCATTCTGTCAGCCCTAGGTGATGCTACTGTATCAAGATTTGAAGCAGTAGGCTGGTTGCAAGAGACCCAGTTTCCTTGATTCACTGCAATATTGAAAGCAGATGAGCAAATTGAAGTGTCCTACATTTGAAAATGGAACAGAGGAAAGGCCATAAAGGGTAAGCAATATGAATTTCAGGTTACATCTCTATCTCTGGTGTATCTTGCCACTGAAGATGCAGGTAGTAATGAATGGAGAGTTAAATCTGCTGGGTATGGTAGGAGTTCTCACAGTGGAACCCAGGCATTCTTGGATGTCTAATGTCTCCTTAGGAGATGGTAGTAGGCCTTAACATATGTCATGTTGAATGTAATCTTTATTCTGAATGTGACTATTGAGCTGTGCTGGTGAACCCAGTTTCAGAATGAAGGCAACCACAAATGGCAGCAAGGCTTGGCTCTTCCATAATGACATCATGACAGCTAGGATAGACATATTGGAGATGAAGCCTGTTCAAGGTTGATCCCCTTCTCTGAAACTGGCCTCCCCAGTACTATGCAATGGTCACTTTCGTGCCAAGGTGATGTGTGCTCTGATGCTTACTAAGGCATGTCTCCATTGTCAAAACTAGTGTATAATGATTAGAAAGGTTGATCAGATGTGAAACTAAATATTCAACAGAGCTCAGTGCCTTTGGGAAAGATGAGGGAACTGGCTTTTTCAGTGAAGCCACCCTCTTCCTTCATTCTCTGGCCTTTCAGTAAATTTTCTTTATCTAGTTGCATCAAACATGACCTTGAACTCTCCTCAATATTCTAGACACCATTTGGAGTTCCTATGCAACTTATTATTGAGAAACTCTTTCTTGTTGCTTCTTTAGAGCAATAAGTCTCCTGTCACCTGGTGAGAGCATTTGGCAAGTTCTCTCTGTGAAGAATTATCCTTTGCCCTTGAAACTCTTATGAATATAACACTGTGTGAGGCTCAACATGTCTAATATTTCTCATTACCACCAAACTCCTTGGTGTGGCAATATCAATTGCACCCAGTGAAGGTTATTGTAACATACACTAGATACCCATCTTTGTATACATGTCCTTTCTTCTGTGGAAAGTACAGACCTGTTGCTGTTTTCTGACTGATTTATCTGAGCACTTCTAACCATCTTAGTGCCACGCTTCCGTGCTGGGTGTGTAAAATGCGCCATGTGTGTTTTGCTGAAAATGTAGCATTTTGCTAAATATGCTGACCCTGCACTCTGTTAGCCCTGTAACCTGTAAACCTGCAATAAGGAAATTTTGCAGCCAAAATATTGACCCTTTGGCAATTTTTGCACAATCAGGGTTGTGTTGAAATATTGGCCCATAGCACTAAGAGGGTTAAAATACAGAGATCTTAGAATACGAATGGGCCCAAGTGCAAGTACCTTGCAGTTTGCTGTGTTTTTTTATGACAAGAAAGTTATTCTTGCAGTCATACCTTTACAGAAAATGCAGAGATATACCCATGTGAATAACATGTTTTATTATCTAGGAGGAGCAGTAAGAGACAGAAGAATCTAGAGGACTACTGGGATTGCAGCGTTTGTACTTACCAGAATCGAGCAGAATCATTCAAGTGTCTCATGTGTGACACACGGAAGGGAACATCCACAAGGTTTGCATCAAACCTAAGTTGTACCACCTTGCTGTGTTTGCCATTTGGTGTTGAATGGTCTAGGGTCCTATGCCATCCAATAGTACTGGCACTTAATTTTGTTGCTGCTGTTATTAGGAAACCAAGACTGAATCCACAACTAGCCCTGCAGTTCAACCCAGTCCCACTTCCAAAAGTGAAGAAGGAGGGCCATAAAGATAGGAAAGGACCTGGTCCTAGTGGACTGTCATCTAAGTCACACAGGTCCAAGTAAGTTGAAATATGATGATGGGTGCATCTTGGACTGAGCATCTTTACATTTCCATTTTTACATTTCATTTCATAGAGGGAGACTGCTGAATGTGGACAGAAAGTCATTTAGGCAACAGGAAGTGACAGTGAAGAATGTGACAGTGATCATCACAGAGTATGCTGTGAAACCACCAAAGAAATCCCCCTCATTAGAAGGTTCTGACTCAGGGAATCTTGGAAGTCCTCATTACATGGATACCAAAACAGAATCTCCTCCAGAATCAAACAGTGAAAGAAGTTCTTGAAGTTTTGTGATATGAAGATCTTGCATGTCATTTTTCCCTGACAAGTGTCCAGTATTCTCTTGATCATCCATGGTGTTGATAGGCCTAATAAATTTTAAGATGTTGCTCATTATGATTGGCTACAATCCTGCTTCTTGCATCTTGGTATAACAAGGTGCCATGAAACCTTAGTCCCACCCTTGCTGATGCAGGACAGGTTGAAAGGGAAACAATGTGTATTTATTTCTGAATAACTTATTCAAGTCTACATTTGCAGCTTAATCCCCAGTATTGTGCATGTCCACTGTTGGCCTGGATGATGGCTTGAAGGCAAGATGAGTAGGGCTGCAGCAAATTCAGAGAGAAGTGTCAAACTCATGAATTGAGAGAACAGATTCAAAAAGTTCCCAAAGGTGATCACTGGAAAACCATGGCTCATTAGGCTCAAAGAGCATTTTATCATTACCTCAGTCTTATGGAACTTATGCTTTTACAGACATTAAAGTCAGGGAATCACCTGGCTTTTCTGCATTTCCAAATAGATCTTTGTTGGCATTTATATGAACCTGCTGAGTAGCAAGGTCTTTGAAATAATGGCCTTGTCATCAGAAGTGTCACTTGACTAATGTCTAATTAGGACACTCACAGGCTCCTGCAGAAAAGGGCTACAATGTTTAACTAAAATATCATCCTGGATATGTTAACCACATGAGACTTCATGAAAAGGCCTCCTCACTCAGCATTTTCCGATAAGTGACACAGAGTTCATTGGCAATGCAGAATGATCCAGGAATTCTCACCTCAATGTCAATTAAAACATTAGCTCAATATTGAAAGACTTGAGTCTTCATTTTTTGAGTTTGATACCATCTTCCTGAATTCACTGCTGCCATACCCATCTCCCCTTCAGTACTCTTCAGACAAGACCAACACACAGTATTGAGATTTGGGGTGTAAATGCAGAATTGAATTCTTCCCGCAGAAACATCATCTGTTGTGTCCCCTTCATTCAGTTCTGCTACTGAAGGGTGGGTAAGGTTCCATTGCACTCAGTATATTTATGCCATGGTTTTCATGGTGTATTTGTTGTGTGATTCTTATGCCCCCATTGGCCAGCTATGCTATATCAAACTCTTGCTCGAAGGAATGCTTTGTTCATCTCTGGAAGTCTATGAATTGACAGCATTTTTTAATTTACAGACAAAGCTGTTGATGTCATTGTGTCTAGTGTTAAAATGGATTTATACCTGTACTATCATATGAAAATCCTAGCAATTTTTTTTCCTCCCTGATTTATTCTTTTTACTGCAGCCATCTAGACTGATTTTAATTTATTATTATAAAAACTAGACTCTCTGCTTTCATTTGATTCGTGAAGGTGTCAGCAAAATTAGGATGAAACAACTGAAGGCCATGTACATGCTTGGATTAGTCAAAATTCTGCTGTTATTCCTAGTCACTGTTCTTGCCATGTCAATGAAAACAAAGAATTCCATTCCAATTTTGTGAATCATCATATTTTAAAGTCACATATATTATTTTGAAAAATTGTACCATACTCGTGCTTGTTTTTACTGTGCTCTCCCAAGAAAAATCAGAATAATTTTTATATTTTATTATTTTTGAAAAAATGCTAGAAGCAAAAGACCTTGTAGTCTCTCAAGTGACAGAAATGGCTCTTATCTTGCTTCTTCAGGTGCCTTGAATCTGTTGCAGTAACAGATTGTTCCACTCCTATCTTCCTTCCTGTGCAGCATCATTGAGTGTGTCCAAAAGAGGGCTCCCCTCTCCATGCTGCCTTTCTTTCTTCATTCCACAAATTCAGTGGGATTGAGGACTGAACTCCAATGAAGGAATGCCTTTATTAAAAATTATTGATGGGAGTTGTTAACCCATTGACCCAGAATTAACCAATTTGTGGGCAGTGGGAAAGTATACTTCCCAGAAAATGTTTTATCCTCCTTGCTTCAGGGAGAATGCATGAAGAAAAAATTTACCCACAAAAGGGCAAAATGCCCTGTTCCTCAGCCCAGTTTTGTATCTGAGAAGTGAATATGCATTTACATATTTTTAGTAATGAATACAATGCAACTAGAAAAAAAAACTAGAAATGAATTCTTTACAAAGACAGTAGAGAAGGATGAGGAACAAGTGCTGAATGTGTCATGCATGTTTGGCTCTATGTTGATAATGAAAATCTCACACTTGTCAGGCACATACATTTGGGCCAAGGAGTTGAACTATTCTTGCTCTGTGAGGCAGGGCACTAAGCAAAAAGTGGGTACTTTTATGCCTTGTCTATGAGCCTTGAGAAACAATTTCTTAAGTCCAAGCAGCTTAATGGTGGAAAATTTTGTTTCATCTTGATTCTGCATACATTAAACCCGTAGTACTGCAAATCAAGTGATAGCAGGGAATTTATCCACTTTACTATGTACATTGTTGTCTAGTTTGCAATGGTAAAGGAGAAAGCAGGAGGGGAAAAAGTGACTAAGACCTTGTTCTAGTAGATATATAGGAAATAGGCTTCAGTGTTTGCAAAAGGTTTCACTGTTCATTAACTCCTTTCAAAATCACTATCAAAGACCCTTTATTCCCAAAATCCAAATCAAATATAGAATATTTCAGTAAGTAAGCTCATTGAGGTATCATTTAAAAAAAATAGCTCAATTCAATGGTGAAGCTGTTTCCCAGATAATGGGCAGTTTTAGAATGACAGGTCTCAGTTTGGTCCCAGTGTTTCAAGAATAAGTAAAAAAATTGGATCATTCCAATAGAAATCACAACTGGAACAAAAAAGAAAAGGTCAATATCTTTTATTGTCTGAAGATCATGCAGCTCATAAAAGTGTTTGTAAGAGACAGATTTTTCACATTATCATTTGTGATGGAGAGTGCCACTTATCCAGAGCACAACTTGGCAAGTTTAGCTTCAATAGTGATATTCATGGAGTTTGAGTGTGTTGGAAAAGAGCCACAGTCAATATTGAAATGTGCACAAACATCACTTAATAAAATGTCATTGGAAAGCCACCATCCTACATCAAATGGATATGAGTTGAGATTACTTTGAAGGCCTTTTACACTGAAAATGGACACTTTGTTGTGCAGGGATGAGTGACATTAAATTGTATGTAAAATGCTTACTATTTGACTGTACTTCTGAGAATTCTCCACATCATGAGGATTGAAATCAACTTGACTTGATGTAGCACATTTGTGACATTTATGTGAGAGGATGCTCATCTTCCTTGAAGAGCACCATGTCACTCATATGTTGTAGCACATGAGATGCATTTAAAAGTAAATCTCTGCAACACAGCTCCTTCATATTTACAGTAGTAGTGCTATGCTTAGTGCTTTAAGCCCATGGTGCATTCATAGTGTCAGAGCTGATAGTGTTTACAGTACCAATATTTCCTGACCAAGTTCCCTGATTAGGTGTAATCCATTAGGACCTATTGCCTCTCCAGCTACCAGCTTCTCTGTCCTACTTATAATCTCGATTCTCAGGGATGATAATATCTTTAACCTACTCTGACCTTGAGGCCTCAACAGTGACCTTAATTTAAGAATTGCTCTACAAAAGCTAAGTGTCCACATTGATAGCTTGTCAATAGAGTTGTATCCCTCTCATTTTCACACATTGGCTTGTGTGACTCAGCAGTTGCTCGCAGCAGTTTGTTGTGCCTGGTGAAATTTTCTATTCTGTGAATACTAGATGAAATGCCCCAAGCACAATACCCTATGTGAGTAAACTGCACAAAGAAGACTGCAAAGAGAAATCATTCATTGACTGTAAAAAAAAAAAAAGTGTGTTGTACTTCTATTCAGGGTTCAGGGTTAGAACTACTTCAAGGAGTACCATCAGGTGTGAGGGAATGAGTGCCGTTGTCATAAGCAAAGAAAAAAAACAGCTTGCATATTCTTGCTTTATGTTGCAGTTTATTTCATGTGTTTTGTGTAGTGACCCCATAAGCAATACAGTGGCTGATCTGACACACAAAAATGAAAATCTGAGACAGGTAGGGATTGGTTAGCATCCATTCTGGCATGAGTTGGAAGAGGTTAATGCACATGTTGGCAACCGAAGTTGTTATCAGTGGTGTATTTTATGGGGGGGCAAGGGGGTTGGCTGATGCTCCTGGAACAGAGCTTGGTACCCCCTTGAAGGTCATGTTTTTTTCCCATTTGGGTGAGGTTTGGTGACCCTACTTTGCTTCCCTGCCCCCTGACCCTTGAGCCAAAATATGCCACTGGTCATTATCAATACATCATTGGACTTACTCAAGAAAACTGAAGCAAAGGAATTCTTTAGTATCCCTGTCATCTCCTTGTTATTCACCACTCACTTCCCATGTCATCCTTTTAACCCTTGGATGATGGAAATATTTTTCTTACCCTCACGACAGATTGGGGTCAATCGTGACCCTACAAAAAGAAATAAGATGCATCTCAAAATTACATATTGAATTATTCATGGGGTCAACATTGCTTATGAGTACATAAACTCAAAATATGCAGGAAAAAAACTCTGATTATTCCTATTGAATTTTCAAAAATAAAACACACAAAAATGCACATCTTGGTGTCCAAAATGACCCCCTTCAATCACTGACCTGATTGAATGTTGACTTCTACAACTGGGATATTGGGAAAAAAAACTATGGAATTAACCTCAGCACTAATTGTTAATTGGTTGTGAACCTCCTCTTTTGCTGTTTCTCTCTTGGCCTCTAGGGGAGTACTTAGTACCCCATGGCAGGTTCTTAACAAGATCTTCCCTGTACCCCAACCAATCTTGCACAAAAAAATGTTCCTTCGATCCACAAGTAAACAAAAAGAGATTCTTCCCAATGCAAACACCTAGTTCATTTCAGCACATAAAATGACCACCTTTTCTTCTGAGTCTACTCTAATGCAAACCATCAAATCCCTGAACTTCTAATTCTTCATCCTTGAAGATTCAATTTTGACTAAAAACGAAAAACAAAAAAATTAAGTAATAGAATCCCATCAAATTCTGTTTCAGCACAAAAACCATTGTTCTAGTCCAAAAATTACAGAAGCTATTGCAGTTTTAAAAGAGGGAGTGATTTTTGAAACACCTGTAGATTCCCTTTAAGGAGTCACTGAACACTTGTGCATATTTGCAGCATTGAGAGCTTGAGGACTGAGCAAGGATGACCTTGCAAGACTACCTTAAGGGCCACAGCTCTAGAAAGCAAAATAATCATTTCCCATGAAGGCTGTCATGCCATTAACCCCTTGGCATATATAGATTGAATAGAAGAAAACTGTGATGTTCCTCCCAGCTGAAGCCACCCCACGGCAACAGGCAGGAAATACCCGGCCTCTAGCCCAGGAGAAGAGGGCAGAAAACAAATGCATCCCGGAACCATACTATGGCAAAATAGCCTGCAGAGTTGGGGCAAAGCTTAAGAAGTTGAAATTGAGAATGGATAGCAAAGGATCCCATCCTAGAAAATTTTCAGGCAGCCTGCATCATCAGGGGGTTGAGGCCACAAGTTTGACCAAACAAACCCTACCCAGAAGGTTTCTACTGCCAGGTGCTACAGCTTATGGAATTAAACAGTTAGACTGTACCTAATGCCTCAGAGGTAATCACGGCTTAAGTCCGTCTGTCAGTGCCACAGCCAACGATCGATTGGCTTGATCAGCCTCGCCACTGAAATGCATGGTAGACTCAAGCCTATGAAGGAAATGGAGCGAGGACATGGCTTGGAATGGCTCAAGCTTATGAGGGGAAAAAAAAATGGGGAGGAAGGCTAGTTGCAAAACAAGCCTATGCAAGAAAAAACGTAGCCCAGGGAAAAGGCCCTACCATGCATTCAGTTAACTGTGTCCTACTCTGACAGACTGGACCAATGCCCAGGTTGCCTCTGCTACCTTCAGGCCTTGGCCTTGACACATTAGGCCAATAACACCTGACCCAACCCCGACTAATTGGATAAGCTAAACCCTAGGATGAATTAAGAAAAGTTATGGGAAAGAAGCCCATGCACTGGTAAACCAACATCATCACCGGGATCGTATTGCAGTCACTCTGTGCTGCAACAGCTGCACATCTGAGCTGTATATACAGCAAAGTTGTAAAAGTTATATATATATATGTATATATTTTTTTTTTTTTACAGAAAATATTGTTTGGCAAGTCTTCAATACAGTAACTTATTAACATCTGAATGAGTGTGTTGCTAGGCAACCATACAGGGGTAATGCACTAGCCATGCCATTAAAATCAAACCAAACCAAATGTTTCAATCACAATTATAAGATTTTAAATACATTTTTAATCAGAGGAAGGTGCCATGACGGCAAGGGCTTAAGACAGGGGGTTTTGTCCCCCTAATATTTAAAGAATATGTCAATCCAAAATGACTAGCAAAAGACCTTCCAGTAAGTTTCATACAAGTGGACAAATTATGAAGCAGTCAAGAAAGACTTAGCATTTCACATGTTCAGCTTGAATCTGTTGTCCAGGATCAGGCATCAGAGGATGCTCCTGGGCCTGCTTGAGTCAAGACCCCATTAAACTCTGTTACATAGCATTAGAATTAGCGTACATGTCTTCCAATGATGTTTTGGATTGAAAGACAAAACAGACAGTCTAGGCACACCATTTGCAAAAATTTTATTTTGAAAGTTGGGATGTCCAAAAACATGGGATTCCATGACATGTAGCTGGATATTTTTATGAGTACCAGTACATGGCTACTTCAGTACTTAGAAAGCTCCATCCTTCCTCAGGTACATCAGTAGCTACTCTTCCATTGGGTGAAATGTTTTGCACAAGTACTCCATACTGTAGTTCATATCATCTGAGATCCATGCTCAAACAATCAAGATTGCACATTTCACCAGTACAGCAACAATATCTGCATGGACACTCTGAACAGTTGTATCAGAACTTATGACAAATACTGACTCCAATAAAAAAGGCTGCAGACTAGAATTCACAAGCACAGTTCACTGAACACAACTGGTTCAGAATGCATTTTTCCCCTAAGGACCAGATGAATATCACAGAACTTCACATAAAATCTTGACCTAACAGTTTATGAAGATCATGGGGTCATCTGAAAGAAATAGTACTACCTTTAACCATCAGAAGGGATTTGAGAATTTTGGATCTCAGAGTCACTGATTGGGATTCTATCCTTGGGCTTGTTACTCATAGCATATAATGATGGACCAGGATGTAGGATGCGGGCACTTCCAAGGCATTCATCCCCCTTGTAGAAAACCCCATACTGAAAGAGAAAAATCAGATAAATATAGCACCGGTTATGAAAAGGCTGAGTAGCTCCACCACCTGTTCCAAGTGTACCTGTCCAGGTGTGACTGCCCTGAGAGGTTTGGCAAGATAAGCAATGAGACAGCCATTAGTTGTCATGTTCAGGCTACAAGGTACCAATGGTTTGGTATGCTGAAAGACGAAGCTGCAGTCCAAAGACTTGTTGTTCATTAACATTCTTGGAGTGCTGTGGATCCAATGTGGTTGCCCAAGAAATACTGAAGTGCAATACAATGCTGGGTGATCACAATCTTGAATCTGTGCAAAGAATATTTCATGCCCTTATAAACCTTATGAGGAATGTTAAGAGATGATCTAGGACTCACAACAAGCATTTCCTGTGATTCTTTGTTCTTCTGTACAATGTAAAATGGGGTCCTCTTGCCTGGCAGGCGACATCTTTGACCGATAGTCCACTGATGAATTCCCAAGTGCTCTCCAATTACCTCTCCAGTTTCCATGTGGATAAATAGGCCAGGCTGAGGATCAATATACTGCAAGTACAGCATAATTGCCTCATGTTAATGCCAAAATTATGTCAGTCTAACAAAAGCTTATTATTTGCCATCTACCTCATCAATAAAGTCCTGAAAGTTACGTTTTCCAATGAAACATATCCCCATACTTTCTTTCTTTTTCACCAGAGATTCAAATCCAGCAGTCAAGGCAATCTTCTTCACAACATCCTTTGTAAATTCCCCAAGAGGGAATACAGCATGCTGTAATGAGGCTTGGCTGATTTGAGAAAGGAAAAATGTCTGATCTTTCACAGTATCCAAAGCTCGCAGAAGCCGTGCACCTGATGAAAGAACCATCAACTATAGTTTTTTATTCAGGAATTATCTTGGCTATGAAAAATGCATTGAGCCTAGGTCATACCTTTTTGTTGGCTGAAGTTCTGTAGCTCATCACCAAAAGTGGATCTAGCATAATGTCCAGTGGCAAGGGCATCAACACCAAGCTTTTCTGTGCAGTGCTTGAAGAGTGCATCAAATTTGATCCTCTTATTGCACAAGATGTCAGGATTGGGTGTGAGTCCATTTTCATAGTCATTCACCATGTGACTAGATTTGGAAGGCCATAACAGTGGATTAAAGCAATGTCACTTGTTCGCTGAAGTGAAAGCAAATATGGGTATGTGGGTACCATCGCAAATTAACCTGTCCAGGGACATACTACTGACTTTCATTTTTCATTTTGACAGGACTCTAAAACTCAGAATGGCACCTTGAACTGGCCACAGGGATGTTGAAGCTTTCAGAAAACCAGGCACTGAATATTCATAATGAGCAATGACCACAACAAGCTTTTTCTCAGGTCAGCCTAATAACCATTGTTTTTTCATTTATTATTTTCCAGCATCACTGCTTTTTTTTCGGCTAATAAATCAATCATATCCTGGGAACCCAAGGTGTCTCTAAGAGTATCTGAGCTGTTCTAAAGAGCACTGACATCTGTAGCAATTGGAGCTTGATGGTTACCCCCAACCGACAGATATTGATGAACAATTTGTAGGTGAAGGTTTCTCATGTTCCTGTGACCATTGGGACCACCTGTTTTCATTTTCCAAAGATATTGAGGTTCAAATGCAAGTTGTTGCTACTGTTCTACCTTCTCAATTTCTTTTGTGATCACATTTCTGGTATCAGGGCAGGTCACATTGATGATAGTGGAAGCCTAATCTCATTTTTTTATTCTGATGTTAGGCTTCTTGGCCTTTGGCCAAAATCGGAATTATATACTTTTTTCATTTTTGAGTTCTTTTGCTATTCTACTTTAACATTTTATGTTCTATATATCATTTTTATATTTTATATAAATTTACCATATCATACCATATAATATATATCATGCATGTAATTACATAACAGAAGATTACAAAAACTGACAGGCGAGAGAAGGCCTTGGATGGAATTGAACCATGCATAATTGTAGTGTAAATACGGGGTGCAAAATCACAAGAATCCCAAGAAGTTCCCATAGACACAATGAAAATGCATTGTCCATTGGAATGGATGAATCAGAATCAAGAATCAGTCTGAAAGGGTTAATGTTTTAGTAGTTGTTGTTTTTTTATTTTGTTATTATTTTTTATTACAAAGAACATGATTACTAGGTATATCAATAGTTCCTGGAGAATAGGTACGAGTTCAAAAGCCTCCAATGAGAGATGTTAAGAATTCTTCAATCTAGATCAGAGTGAGTGCTTATTCAATTTTAGACTTGAAAGGAAAAGAGACCCTAGGGACACTCCTTAAAATTTCCAAGAGGTTTGTGAGGAGAATACTCTTCAATATCCACCAGTTTCCAGGTGAGTGATTGAACTCAAAGGTAAGAGAGAAAATGGAAATGACTCTTCACACTCTGACCTTTGAATTTATGCACACTCCTGCAAACCTGACAATAAAAAAGACTCTCTTTGCAAATTTCCCCAGCTCTTTGTTAACATTATTGGGTCTCTTAGTTGACATTTAACACTGCTTGGTCACTCTCTGACTCTAGAGGAAAACTTCCTATTTTGTGACACTAGTCTAAGGATGAATTTTCAGTCTAATGTCAAAATTACGAGTACATGTCAGTGCTGCCAACTGAGACATGATCATCTTTTCGACTGTACTTTGTTAAGTTCACATTCCCTCATAAACTTCCATAATCATATCAACCTTCTACCTGAAGACTTCATGCCAGTATTCCTTGATGAAGCTAACTTCATGGAATGGTATGCCCAGCTGCTTGCAGACTTTATGAGCATCCTCTGCATCTTGGTCCACAGTGCAATTCCCTACTTCATCAGTGATGTCCCAATTCCGCATGAACACTCCTATGATTTCATAACCTGTAATGATAAAAACAAGAACACAAGGTGAATTTTAGGACCATGTTAATCCCTATGCCTTCAGATGGAATCCATTGCAGACTTATTTTTCTAAAGTTACTCTAAAATAAGTCTTGTACTTGTACTTTGTGAGCTCCTCATCAGTATGTCATCATTCCCTTCACAGACTCTAGTAGATATGTATGTGCTAGGCCAATGTATGAGGCTTTTGAGAAAAAAAAAAATCAGGAAAAAACATCCAGAATCCGTACTAGCAGGAAAAAAATTACCCTGAGATGAAAAAGAAAAAATGGCATCTGGAAAGCAGTCACTTGGCTATATACAGGGTATCTGTGAAGTAGTGTAGGGATTTCAATGGTGCATTACAGAAAAACGAAGCAATGTGAAATAAATTTAATTGGCTTGTGACATTCCTGAAAGTCAGGAGTTATATTATGACACCAAGGGTACTCATGCTTTAGACCTGAAAAGCAATGTCTTACAAATGTCTTCCAACACAGGCAGCATTTGCATGTTGATCATGGCTGCCTCCATCCCTGTGGCAAGGATTTCCAGAAAGGCAGCCTCCAGAGCATTCCTAAAATTGTATTCCAGGAATTGTTGGAGGTTTATTTGAACAAGCAGGCTCTTTCCAGTACTCCAAGGGGAAATAATCTGGAGCTGATGAGTCTGGAGATCTCAATGGTCAAGTGATGCAACCAAAATGGGAAAGAATGAATGTGGGGAAAATGGTAAACAAGAGTGTTATTGTGTTTTGGGCTTCAATCTATGTGCCATCCTTTTGAAACCATAGGTCTCCCACAGAGAGGTTATGATACTGCAATACATAAAATTGTTACCTGCCTGATGGAGGACATCTGGAAAGCATAATTTTTCATGTGTAATGTGAATTAGTGCAAATCTCCTGATCTCCTGAACTGTGCAATCCTGATACTCAGGATTTTTGTAAGCATATCAACTTTACTATCTTTTGCTTTCTCTCTGGTAATGCAGCATTAAACTCATTACACTTTTTTTGAGACACACTGTACAAGCAAGATATTACCAATGAAGGGTTTGCACTTGTTTTACAAGTATCTTGAAGTAACTTCTATTGAATTTTTTCCTTTCCTTCAACTTATGAAAAGTATAAAAATGATTTTTAAAATCTTTCTTTTTTTTTCTCAGAAATTTTGAGAAAAAAAAATCTGTATCTTGATCATAGATCAGTGTTTCCCAAATGGTGTGCCACAAGTAAGGCTTAAGTGTGCCATGAAATTTGAGAGTTGACAAAAAAAAACTAAAAAACTATAACTAAAAAAACTTAAAAACAAGAGGGAACGCCATCTCTAAGTGGAAAACGAGCTGAGAGTTGCACTACCACACCTCATATCAAACTGCTGTGTTCAGTGAAGCAAACACAAGTTTCCCATCGAAAGGAAGTAAACGGATGGGTGTGCCATGGAAAGTTCAAGTGTTCTTATGTGTGCTGCAAATAAAAAAAAGACTGGGAATCACTCTCAATGATAACCTTTAGGAGACATATTATCTGGAGACTATTTCTAATGAATACTCTGCATAAAACACAATGTCAAAAATATAAACCTTTTAAAATGTACTCATTTAGTTTCATTAATTTTATTTTTTTTATGTTAAGTTCAAATGTCAATATTTTTATAGTAATACAAGTAATGCATGCAAAATTAAGTGCTTTTTTATGCTGAAGCATATCATAACTAAGCTTCAGCTTCCTTGAGCATTTTTATCTTGAGTGGCTTATTACCACTTTTGGCAATTTTGTGGTCTTTTGTCCAGGTGATGGGGAGGCAATAACTCTGGAACTAAGAATCTAGACATTTCCCATTTTTATTGCAGCATCCTGAAACTGAGGATAGGGTAATAGTTGCAATATTCACACAATGTTAATTTATGTCAATTCAACAGGTCATCATGTTCCTTCTATTCACCCCCTTCAAGACACCTTGGTGCAAGCAATTTTAAAATGTAGAAGCTTTCTCTTTAGTGGACATTAATACTGACATTAATAATGACACTGGCACCTTCATGAGTCAGCAGCTCATGTTTAGAATACATAATAAATCCTTGTTGCACCATTATTTAATACAATGCATCAAGTATGGGACTCACAGAAATCACCTCATTTCCTTCCAACCTGCTTCATGGATAGTGAGATTCCTTTCTCATTTTTTTGTATTAAAAAAATAAAGATACAAATCAAATAAATATAAATGACATGAAAAATGGTGACTTTACCCATGTTGCCTGCCTCTGTTCCAATGTTGGCCTATAGATGAGCCTGTTCAATGAATTGAAAGAGGTAGAATAGTTTATAAAAATTTATTTACTAGGTAAATTTAAAAATGAGATGGGTACTATGGCATGTTGTAAGAAGCACCAGACCCTCTTCTTGAGGGTAAGGAAGACCTGCTGTCTTGCTAAACTGAGTAACTTTGCACATTATTTGCAAAGCTACTCATTTTTGGCATTCATCTCTGGATGAAAACCATGTTACAAACTTTTTCTTGTCTCCTTAAATTAATGGACTCTTTCTGAAATATATCTTCAGCTTGATCACCAGCAGTCATTATATCTCTTCTGGTGGATAAAGATCTCCTAATGTATAAGCCATTTCATGCTATGTTCCAATGTTTGTTTTTTCAACCTTAACACTTCTAATACTGTCACTTCAGTTTTTCTCTGATGTTCCCCTTTGGATATACTCCCTCTTCTGCTTGCAATTTGATAGCTAACTTTGGTAAATCAGTTGCCTCCTTTTTGTGCTAGGTGCCAAGTCAAAGTCCACTTGCTCTTCTTGATAGTAAGCATGATGTCCTACAGGTTGAACCCTATTAGTTTCTCTTAAATGATATAGGCCCTTGCTCCTTGCCAGATTAGGCGACAGAAAGTGGAAGGGACAATGATACCACTACCTTGTACTCTTGTGTTATCTTCAGGGAATAAAAACAAAAAAATATATATAGTAGATATGTATGCTGATCAATACAAACCACCAGTCAGTACGAGCTCAAACTCAAGAAAATTATGAGAAATTTATGAAAGCGAAAAATAAAGAATCTCGCATCGCAAACTGCAAGTAGTGTCAGTAGCGACTACTATACGTTAAATCTATGAGCTTAACGTGCGGCTTAGGCCCCAGAGGCCTACACTTTTAAGTGACAGAGTAGGCTAAAGGGCCTATCATACCTTTTTTCCTCAGAAGCAAAGCAGCAATGCAGCTGTCGACACCACCAGAAATGGCACAAGCGATTTTACGCAATTTCAGCATTATTCACATTCATTCACTTTCGTCTGTTTTCCTGGAAAAGATTTAAGGTCAGATCGACAGTCGTCTAGAAGTGAATGAGTAGGAAAGGTCACGCCTACTGAAGGTTGTCCAAGTCCAACATACTCTTTTTAGATTGAATTCGATCCTCCCTTCTCTCATCGGGGATAATGACACCTTTTACAAGGGTGGTTGTTTTTCGCTCTCTCTTCGTTTTTGGGCGAGCCGAACTACCCCGCAGCAACATATTATTTTTCGAATACTAAAAAGTTTGTATACGGAGATGGGCATTTACGTATTCGATTAGGGGGGAAAAAAATACTCTTCGTCAAATATACCGTTCAAACAAATATAAAAAAAGACATCAAAATAAATAAAACAAAAACAGCGGTGGGGTATCCCCGGCTGGAGAAGAGAAAATCGCCCGAAATCCTGAGTCCCATTCCAGGCAGAGCTACACGGGGTTCCCGGAAAAAAAAAAAAGAATTGAGGAAAGCGGAAAAAAGCCACCTGGATGGTTGCTTCGTAATTGTTCTTATTTATACACATATATTATACATAGATGATTAAAGCTTGGCGATGTTGAGACTTTTACACAGGGATTTGATTGTCCATTTTTTTTATATTTAAGGGTGAATTGCCACCAATTATTCAAGTAAAATATTGCTAATTTTTCGTTTCCATCTCTATATATATAAAGAAAAAAGTTTTGTCTGTCTGTTCCTTAATGCATTCGGACCCCGCAGGAGCCAGTGCAACCAAACTTTGCATGGCCTCCCCTTTCATCCAGGGGAAGGTCGAGGGTTATGTTTCGATCCAAAATTTTCATCCCCGGGGTACTTTTCCGGGGTACTGTAGTGTCTGGGATGGCATTATGAGTTACAACAGACTGCTGGATTCGGTGGTGCGGTGATAACGCACCTGACCGGTGGTCAGGAGACCCGGGTTCGATTCCCGGCCGTCCCTTGCGTTTTTTTCGTTCTCTCATGCCATTCAACTCTCCCCTCCCGGGCACCTGCATTACACTACCCCGGGGTTATCCCATTGCTGGATCGCTACAGTAAGTATTAATAATATTCTTTTGATCAACTTTTCATCGAAAATATGTTTCAAAACGATAAAAACATTTTACCAAGAAGTTTTTAACTCCAAAATAATTTAGAAATTATTCACAGCATATTGCTCAAATTAAAGAAACCCACAAAACGAAAAAAATAAAAATAAATAAATACATAAATATAAAAAATGCTAAATGCTAAATGCTAAAAAAAAAACCAAAAAATAAATAAAAATAAATAAATAAATAAATAAAAATTAATAAATAAGCAAAGCTAAAAAAGGGAAAGGGGTCCGAGCACACTTTGCGACACCCAAGATCGGTAACTTATAGGAAACTATGACACTAACGTTCCCCGATTTGTCATGCATGAAATATTGAAATATTGAATTTCACCGGGCAACACCGGGTACTTCAGCTAGTTGAGAATAAAACGATGGAAAAGGCAGATCACCGCTCGATTGGAAGCACTTCTATCTATAGTAATATTCCTTTCCTACGTTCATTATGAAGGGAAGCAGTACTCAGTTCAGCTATGAACATGAACTCGTCTCAATGCAATGCCTGAACAGACTTTGGGTGGGTGGAGATGGGGGTGGATTAAGGAGGGGACCCAAGTTGCGCAAAAGTAGTGGGCCATAAACGGCCCAGGCACTACACTGGCGGATTTCTGCCGGGAGCGGGAACGTGGCGGCAAGTTGGACATGCAGTTGCTGGCCCACTACCTATTGTAGGTAGGAGGGCCAGTTCAGGGTAGAGAAAGTAGCTGGCACTCTCCTAGATGCAGTACCAAGAGTCCCCACTAGATGGTACCTTAGTTCCCTGCACCATACCACCAAAGAAGTACCTTCCTTCCTGATTTAGCAAAAGTGTTTCTTCCTCGTTTTTCCTTTTTAAAATAATGTTCGGCCTAGTTAATGTCCCTGCTGTAACCGCATGCCGTACGGCAAAATCCTATCCGGCACTCATTCCTGATAGACTGCAATCCAGCTACGCAGCAAGTAAATTGGTGTACAGCAGCTGGATGCAGCATGCCGCACGGCAAATATAATGTGCTGTACTGCATGCTGGATTGAATAGAAATCATTCCTATTTTCTGAGTCTGCTGGATGCAGCAATTTTGTATTTTCAGCCTACTCAATTATCAACCACTTGTTTTGCTGATTTTCTGGATTGCTGAATGCTCAAGTGAAAATGAGGAATAATGTTATTCCTCAGATACATACATAATTTCTGTCGGTGTTCTACAATGAAAATAAAATATTAACTGCACCTGGCCTTTTTTTTACATTGCTGTACGCAACTTATCACTGCAGATTCTTCATGGCTTCAGCAAAAATAGATTCATTGCTGCCAACACTTGCTAATATGAGAAAAGCATTGTCAAGACTTTCATTTGCAGCTGTAGGTATGGGGCTACGATAAGCGCCATAATCCACGCTCATTGCAGGGACAAGGCTCTCACTTGAATATATGCTATTGCTTCCAGTCGAACCATGAACATTTTCTCGATAGCAGACATTTGTTTGCCTCCTGATGATTTCGGACGAACTGGTTTTGCAATGCCTCCAGGACTTTTTTGCAGAATCTCAAGAGCTGGCGGTTCATCGGGATTCTCGTCACCTCCAGCCTCTTGACTGAAGAACCAAATTTTTGCTTTGAGATCGTTATGGCGTGGACAGACGAGAAAACGCATTCATTAATCGAGGAAGTGAGGGAACGACTCAGCTTGTGGGACAAGGCGGACTGCAGACATAAAGACGCCGTGAGAAACAAAAATGCGTGGGACGGAATAGGGGCGCTTCTGGACGTGGAAGCATATTCTTGCAGAAGACAATGGCGCCTCATTCGCGACAGCCACATGCAAGCCAGAAAAGCAGCCAAAGGAAAAAGTGGTGCCGGAGGCCGAAAGAAGCCCAAATATCGATTCAGTAAGGCACTATCATTCTTGGATGGCACTAAAATCGAAACTTAAGAAACTGAGACAAATCTCGTTGTTGCTACTGATACTGCCAGGTTATAAATTATTCTTGAAATGCTCATGTTCTGACGGGTAAATATTCTTGAAACAAAACCTTGGTTCTTCAGTCAAGAGGCTGGAGGTGACGAGAATCCCGATGAACCGCCAGCTCTTGAGATTCTGCAAAAAAAAGTCCTGGAGGCATTGCAAAACCAGTTCGTCCGAAATCGTCAGGAGGCAAACAAATGTCTGCTATCGAGAAAATGTTCATGGATCTCCTGGAAGCAACGAAGAGGAGTAAAGATGCTGACTTAATGTTTGGGGAGAGCATTGGGATGTCTCTCAAGGGACTTAGTGTAAAGCAGAAGGGCATTGCCAAAATTAATTAATAATTAATTAATAATAATTAATAATAATAATTAATAATAATTAATAATAATAATTAATAAGTAATAATAACTAATAATAATTACATAATAATGGAAATTCTTACCCAATGTGAATAAGCTGATGCAGTAAATGTCTTGGCGTCCTCTTCCGGTCAGCGTAGCCTTTCGGCTGATTCTCGCACTGATAGCACGTATTCAAGTGAGAGTCTTGTCCCTGCAATGAGTGTGGGTCATGACGCTTGTCGCTCCCCCCTGCCTACATCAAACGAAAGCCTTGGCAATGCTTTTCTCACATTTGAAAGTGTTGGCAGCAATGAATCTATTTTTGCTGAAGCCATGCAGCATCTGTAGTGATCAGTCGTGAATAGCAATTAAAAAAACCTGATGCAATGAATATTTTATTTACACCGAAGAACAGACAGAAATTATTGTATCCGACGAATAACGTAATTCCTCATTTCTCCTCAACATCCTCGATTTCTGAATGTTGAAGTGAACTTCAACATTCAGAAATCGAGAAAATCAGTAAAATAAATGGTTCAAAATTGTGCAGGCTATCCCTGGCTAAGTGTCGCGTTGACAACCCCTAGTAACAATTCTTTCTTGCCATGGAACGCTGCCTGCACTAGTCATAAAGTAATCCTTGAATTTTTCTCTAATATTTGCCGCTGCAGTGGAGCTTCGATTTGACGAGCTCAGAGTCATATCTTGGAGAGCACCTGGTTCATCCTTCACTTCATTCCTCCATTGCCCGGGAATAATACTCCCATCTTGTCTCATGATCCACGTAATTTTATGCTGCATACTTGGGTTCTTTATGACCCGTGGCATCAGTACTTTTTAAGTAATTGTGTAAAATGCAAGTAGCTTTGATGATGTCATTGACTGTATCAGGTTTTGTCTCGATGGGTCGTAACAAAATACGCCAACGAGAACACAGGATTCCAAATGCATTTTCGACAATGCGTCGAGCTCTGCTCAAACGATAATTGAACACTGCTCCTGGTAGGTCTAATAGTGCATTACTATTCCTACCAGGGTAGGGCTTCAGCAAATTGCACTTCAAGGGAAATGCATCGTCTCCTAGAAAGACGTGAGGCAGAGGAACATCACTCCCAAGTGGCGCTTTGTCGATGGGTAAATCTAAGGTTCCAGAGAGCAAAGCTTTTCCAAATAAAGAGTCAATGAAAATTCCGCCATCACTCCGGCAACCATATCCACCAAATGTCCACAACTATAAATTTATATTGAGCATCCACTACAGCGAGTAAAACTTTGGAATGAAATCCTTTATAGTTGAAGCACTCGCTGCTCCCAGGACTCTTCATGGCAACATGTTTGCCGTCGACGGCACCAACACATAATGGAAAGTTCCATAGTTCCCAGAAGCTCTTCGATATCTGTACCCAATCATTTTTGAGCATTTCAAGAACAATTTATAACCTGGCAGTATCAGTAGCAACAACGAGATTTGTCTCAGTTTCTTGAGTTTCGATTTTAGTGCCATCCAAGAATGATAGTGCCTCACTGAATCGATATTTGAACTTCTTTCGGGCTCCGTCACTACTTTTTCCTTTGGCTGCTTTTCTGGCTTGCATGTGGCTGTCGCGAATGAGGCGCCATTGTCTTCTGCAAGAATCTGCTTCCAAGTCCAGAAGCGCCCCTATTCCGTCCCACGCATTTTTGTTTCTCACGGCGTCTTTATGTCTGCAGTTCGCCATTAATGAGTGCGTTTTTTCGTCTGAAACACCATAATGATCTCAAAGCTCAACAGACTCAAAATTGAATGATATTAGACACAAGAAACTGAACGAAAACGCAATAAACTGAAAATTCTGACCACATCCTCTCA